TAAAACACATCAGGAACACTACCTCGCAGGTGATGTGGAAAGAATTTTGTTGATGTGCTTACAAATTGCACTTACTTTTAAGTATAAACATAAGATATGAAAAAAGGTATTCTTGACAAAAGTTTTTGCTTGTTTAGAAAATACGAATCACCATGACGAACTTCAATTTTGTTGAACAGAGTAGGTCAAAAACACAAAAAATGTTATTTTGCGTAAGAGTAAACGTACTTTATTTTGCAAGATACGAAAAAAGGCATTCTTGATAAAAGTTTTTGCTTGAAAAATGAATAAGTCACGTTATCAAAAATTAAATTTATACAGGGAACAAAGTACAAAACTAAAATTTAAGTGTTATTTTTAAATAATACGAACATAATTACAACAATTAAGCAAAAAAAGTAAACACAACAATATGATGAAGATATCAAAAACGCCACCCCCTTATTGATCACATTTTTCTAATCGCTTGCTTAGACATTTGAAGGAATTTTTTATTTCTTCCTGTGATATTCAACGGACGGACAGCCTGGGTAATTCTGCCTTTTAGCATTTCAATATTATTTGGTATTGGAGTAGCATAAATAATTTGTTTTAAACTGCCCCACAGAAACATATAGGCCATGGTTTAGTCAGAGCTCTTTGGGGGGCACAAAATTGGATAATTTTTATCAATCCATCTTGGACCAAATCTATGATTAAGCCACTCTGTTACCTCACGAGCACAATGTGCTAGACAACCATCCTATTTTTTGCGAAAATTTTATGGTAAATTTTCGAGTTCATCGCTAAAAAATGCATCAAGCATTTCTAGGTACTCTGATTAGAGGTGTGCTAGAGAATACTGAATTAAATTTTTGATAACGTGATTCATTTTTCAGGCAAAACTTTTATCAAGAAAGCCTTTTTTTCGTATCTTGCAAAATAAGATATGTTTACTCTTACTCAAAATAACATTTTCGTGTTTTTACCCACCTTGTACAACAAAATTGAAGTTCGTCATGGTGATTCGTATTTTCTAAACAAGCAAAAACTTTTATCAAGAATGCGTTTTTTTCGTATCCTTCACTTTTTAGTTCATTTGTCCTCTTATAAACTCAATCCGCGGATATACTGTATATCTATGTAAGTGTACAAAAAGATAACCATGTTCTAGTTCTTTTTAGTAGGTTTACTTACAGTGTGTTTAAAATTAATCGTTCGCTATGGACATTTGAGTCTGTATCTGTATGAAGTTAAGTGAAGGAAGATTTTAGCAATCTTAGATGTGGTGTCCACAGTTTTTTTAGTTTTCTCTATGAACTTAAACTTTCTCAAATAATTTGATCAATTCCGATCTTTCTTCAAGGTGCTATTTTTGTTTGGAATAATATGACTGGAAAATTATATCGAAATCCGTAGATTTTATAACTCGCATAATACTAGGATGAAAATAATGGCTGTACGGTTTTTTAGTTATGTACGATATTTTTTTCTTATTCTAGTCTTATATTATTATTATTTATCTAAAAAACAAGAAAAAAATTAAACAATATGTGAACATTAATTACATAACAATAAATTTAAAATAATATTTCGTATATAAGTTGGAAGCTTTAAGAGCTTGTAGTTTGAGGTGTCCCTTGGAGTACCTGTATGGAAGCTTTAGGAGTCTGTATCTCTCAAGATCTTCGTCTAGGCTATTAGTCCGTGGGCATATGGCTCTTGTAAATTTTTTTAAATTTTTAACACAGTTTTGAATTTAAAAAAATGTAGGATTTATAGAAATATTCTTATTAATTTACTGTATACAATTAAAATGTAAAAATTTGCAGCGAATTAGTGTACTGATATCCGTCTGCAGTTAATAAGCTGCAGGGTCCTCGGATTGACATTCGAACACAGTCCAGGCTGAGTCCGCGTGGGCCCTGCAGTCGTCTTCGTTCTAATTTTGGTTAGTGTTAACCATAATGTCTTGCTACAGTCGGAATTTCGTAATATTTGGAATTATTTTATTTTCCAAAAATCCGGAACTGAGGTGAAAATTTTTATGCGCTATCGATGGTGGCTCAGCAATTGGTAATGAGCTCTGCTAGCATTCTCTGTTAATTTGGGAAAATTTCGAAACACCGGTGAAATTTTACGCGTTCCGATGTGCGTCGTAGATCGTCTGTGATCTCTTGTTCATTGCTTTATACTTTTGGTGGGTTTTGGGCCCTTTCAGTTGAATTATTTTGAGAACTTAGGTGAAAATTCGATATCTGGTCTCGTACGTACTACGACATTACCTAAACTAGGTTAATTTCAAAGAGATTGACAGTCTAAATCCACGGCTTTAAATAATAGGTTAATAACGAGTACTTTTATTAAAAATTTGAAGTTATCTTAAATAATATTTCAAATTAATCAGATTAGTACTAAGTATTTTCACTTATTTCTTATTATGACCGTTTTATAAAACAATAAAAATAATTATTTCAAAACATGAATAATTAGTTGCACTTACAGTTAATAATGCATGCCTATCCACATACTCATATTAGTTAATATTTAATGAACCATGATAGATACTGATATTTTAAAAAACGCTAGACATTGCAGTAAAAGCCTTAAAGACACTAGCACAGACCCGTCATAATTTTGTCAAGTGCTATCACGTAGGTTTTTACAAATAAGAAAAATATTAGTCCACTACTTTATGTATTGATAGTTTTTCGCCTAATTCGTCCATTTTGTTTAACTTCCGGCTCACGTAAGTTCGAAACAGTGAACAGTGTTGTGGTATTATGCGTGACTAGTAGGAAAAACGTGACGTGATGGATGTGTCTCACAGATTACATTTTTGTTATGTGAGCTCATGTGAGATCATTGTTAGCAGGTGACATGATAGCATAGCGTCGTTGCTTTAATCTGCACAAAACTGTGTTTCTGGCATTACCCTTCTATATACAGGGTAGCCCATCGAAAACGTACCGCAAGGCATTACAGGGTAGTAAATAACTTTTCGGCAAAATCCAAAAACAGGTCAAATTTGTTTCTGAGGGGGACAACTTTTGGCTCAAAAAGCATACCAAAATCTTCAACCCCCTAAGTGGGGGTGCTATCCCCTAAATTTTTTCAAATGGGAATGGGGGTCAAGTGGGGGGTCATTAGAAAGGGCTTTTAATTCTCTATACATCGATTCTTACTTTTTGAAAATCGATTCATTATTTTAGAAAATATGCAGCTTTGAAAATACGAACAATATTTTTGACGAGAAATGCGAAAATCGATTTAATTTTACTTCAAAACTTACGGTATTAGTCAAGTAAATGCTGAAAATGTTGTCCGCCAACTTGCATACAATGATACAGGTTGTCTTCAAACCGTTGTCGAACATTCTGGAGCACTTGCGGTGTTACTTCGCGACATACATTAATGATTCGTCCTCGCAGATCTTCCAAGGTATCAGGTGGAGTGCTGTAAACTTTGCTTTTAATGTGCCCCCAGAGAAAGAAATCTAAAGGATTTAAGTCGGGTGACCGAGGGGGCCACTCAATTGCACCTCTTCGTCCTATCCAGCGTCCTGGAAACGTCTCATTTAGGTAATTGCGCACATTGAGCGAGTAATGTGGAGGAGCTCCGTCTTGCTGGAAAATCAGTTCGTGTTCATTGTAAGCAGGGTCGTCCTCTATGATATTTGTTAGAGCTGGGTCGATGACATTTTGTAGTAAATCCAAGTACATATCGCCTGTCAAATTTCCAGGAAGGAAAAAAGGACCTACAATGGAATTTCCAAAAATACCTGCCCATACATTCAACTTCTGGGGGTGTTGGGAGTGTGTCTCATGGAAAATCCTTGGATTGGTATCAGCCCAGTAACGACAATTATGGCGATTCACTAAACCATTCAAGAAGAACGTACACTCGTCCGAAAAACACACATTAAAGAGGAAATTATCGTTTATCGCTCGTTCAGTCATTATTTCGCAAAATTGCAAACGACGATCAAAATCGTCTTCATTTAGCTCTTGCACTAGCCGAATCTTATAAGGATGGAATTTGTATTTTTTTAATATTCGTTGGACACTTGTACGACTCACTCCTGTCGCAGTAGCCAATTGCATTGTACTCAGCGTACTATCCATTGCCACTTGCCCCAATACCGCTATTTCCGTAGGTTCATTTAGTACCGGATTTTCAACCTGCCTCTTTTTGTTATGAACGGAGCCAGTTTCGCGAAATTTGGCCACCAATTCGCGAACAATTTTTCCAGACGCATGTTTCTCAGGATGCCGTTGGTTGAACAGTTCGGCGACCCGATTTCCGCATTCATTGTTTTTGAAAAAAAGCTCAATAATTTCTACTCTTTCTGGAATTGAGTACACCATAATTAATCAATTTAAAAGACTCGGCAGTATTGGTACTCTTCAACTACAAGTCACAAGACAGTTATCTAGCAACTTCTTGTGGCCTATCTAAATACGAAACAAAAAGCGGACAATTTTTTGCTCACCAAAATCAGGCTAAAGAATTCGCAAATCAGAAAAAAAACAGCGAATTCTTTTGAAGGAATTTACCAAGCTAATACCGTAAGTTTTGAAGTAAAATTAAATCGATTTTCGCATTTCTCGTCAAAAATATTGTTCGTATTTTCAAAGCTGCATATTTTCTAAAATAATGGATCGATTTTCAAAAAGTAAGAATCGATGTATAGAGAATTAAAAGCCCTTTCTAATGACCCCCCACTTGACCCCCATTCCCATTTAAAAAAATTTGGGGGATGGCACCCCCACTTAGGGGGTTGAAGATTTTGCTATGCTTTTTGCGCCAAAAGTTGTCCCCCTCAGAAGCAAACTTTACCTGTTTTTGGATTTTGCCGAAAAGTTCATTACTACCCTGTAATGCCTTGCGGTACGTTTTCGATGGGCTACCCTGTATATTCTTTTCCAGAATTCCTGCAGAAGAAATAACTCACTGTAAACATAACAAGCGGCAAAACCAATTCAGTGATATGAGGAAAGCAGCAAAATCGGACGACCACTCAGAGATATCTATCAGCAAGAGCGCGCATATCCCAGTTCGCACCACTTCAAGGCGCTCTGCGATGCGATAAGTATGAAAGTACGTCCTCAGTTCCTTCCAGTTTGTCGCAGCGTTGATGTCGTTCCTCGCTAAAGCGTTCACTAAGCGTGCGGTTTACACTACAGTTCAGTGCCATGTTAGTCCAGTCGGATAATTATCCTCCGGGGCGGTCTCGTCCTGCGGCGCTTCCTCCAGGAATTCTCGACTCCCCCACGCTCGCCAGAGTCGAGCGGGCTATGTTGAGACATGAGGGTACTAATCGGGAAGGACAGGACCTCCTGAGGGCTCAACATACACAGGTAATGAGAGTTGACGGGGTTACAGGGAATATCCTGTCTGAAAAGGAACATATGAACACAAAAAAGAAACCTATTTGCTTGGTACATGTATTTTTTGTGTGTAAAAACCGTGTGTCCAATTCACACATTAAATTGTTGATTATCATAAGATATTACATTTTTGTTTTGGATTGTACATAAGTACAGATTTGCAATTGTGCTACTTATCTCTAAACTTATCTTGAAATTTTCAGTAAATTTTTGTTTTCCTCCTCTGAAAAAGATATATTTTCTACATAATGAATTTATTTCCTCTTAGTACATTTAAAAGTGACATTTTTTCAACCTAAGATTAAAGTTTGATGTCAATCTATGCAACTATGTTGTTGGAAGCGGCAAAGAAAATAATTTGCACTGTAATACTTTGTTTTGAATTAAACTGGAAATAAATTTAACATGAGTAGAAAATAATAGTAATATAAAAAAATTATAACATATATCACAACATTGAAAAATATATTTGAAATGGTTTTTTTACCAGTAGGAAGATGTCAGTAGAAGCCAGCTATCTACATGCTTTTTACAAAAATGTAAAAAAACTGTACTAAAGTTTTTCTCTGTATAAAAATAATGTTAATTGTAAATGTAGTTCTCTTCGTTCTATTCACTGGTTAGAAATTCTTAGACAGAGACAATTAGCATATATTTTAAATAGTACGTTTTACGCTTGCTTTAATTTTATACAAAGAAAATTTTATTAGCTTTTCATTACTGTGTTTCCTCCATTTCATGTTGGTCAATGACATGCAAAGATAATAGTAGCTGTTACTAGAATTCTACAGGTTTTGATTATCTAGAATTGTATTTTATCAACAACTTCTTTTACTCTCAATTAAAATATATTTGTACTTTAATATATTTACACTTTCTTTGATTTTATACAAACTAAAGATTTTATTGGCTTTTCATTGTTGTGCTTTTTGCATTTTACGTTGGTCAATGACATACGAAGATAATAGTAATTGTTGCTAGAACTTTTAAGGTTCTGATTATCTAGAAGCGCATTATATCAAGTTTATCTTAGGTACATACTAGTAAATTTTAAAAGATAAAATAAAATCAGATAAAATCGTATCCTTCAATTTTATGAAACCGTTTGATAATAGAGATACAGGCTTTTTAAGAACAATCTATATTCAGGGTATACAAATAATTATAATGAAGCACATACCACGTTTTAGAAATTTGTAATAAATGTGTCAAATTTCACAAAGTACGAACAAATTTATCAGATATGTCACGAATTTAAAACGTTTGCCCGACAATTTCTACAAGTGTACAATGTGCAACATGTATCTGGTTTAATATTTTTGATTATAAAAATAAAAATGTTAGGCGATGACTTGTCTATAGTGGTGACAGTCACCTTACCACCTACATAAGATCTCAGATCTAAATTATTTTCCATAAATTAGTATCCAGATTCCCTCAGTTTAATATATGAATAAGATATTTCGAGACATTTAAGATAATGCTCTTTGGAAAAGGTGTATCTCTATTACAAATCAAGGATATCGTTAAAGAGACAAAACGTAGTTAAAAATTTTACATTGTTATCATTGAATTCGAAACCTAATAAAATACTAGAGTATCTGATCTACAATCTCACTGAAGTTTATGTTTAATTCTCTTTTTATTTAAAATCTTCAACACTTTTATACATAATTTCCATGTTCTGACAAATGTAATTTTACTAACAAATAGGTATACACAGTAACGACTTGAAAACTGCGAAAGCTTTAAAACATTCTATTGTAAAGTTCGTGAAAACGTAACATCGCGACATTGACGATGATTTCAAAAGTTAAAATAATTTTTCATAATACAAGTATTTTAAATCCAATTATTCAAAAAAAAAACTATTTGCCACATCAAATGAGTCAAATATAATCTTGCAAATAACATACACTTACAATTAACTAAATCTTATACCCATACTTTCTGTTATATCTTATCTCATTTTTTTTAGGAATAGTTCATACATCTATCTATTTATATCGATGTTAGATTCTCTAGTACTAGTGTTTACACAAATTTCCCACATCTAGTTCTCTGCAAAGTCAAATCATTTAAGCATATGTTTTAAACATTGTGAGATTGGAATTTGATGACATAATTTTCTTGGATTTTTATCGCATGGAGAAAATGGGATTTATAATCACTAAGTATATACAAAGAAATAGTAATTATCACATTCTGATGTTATCTAATATCTAACCTTTTTTATAATAAGGACAGTAAAAATTAGTGTAACAGGCATTTATCATAAACAGTATATATATTAAAGATATAGTTTTACAAAAATTTAGATTTTTACACGAGAGAGCATGTTTTAATATTTTTAAAACTAATTATTCATATTAGCACTGAAAGCAACTGTAATAAATTTTGAAAGTACTTTAGGCATGCAACTATTACAATTCAGATTAGTCTACCGGCGTCAGAATTTGAAATATTAAAGGTTTTTTATTGCTTTCAATAAAACTTTAAAACAAAGAAATTCCAGTGACATCTGGTACAGAGTGATTCAATAATAATGTTATTAAATTTAAGGGAAGATAGGGAAAAATGAGTAGAATAGGAATACGCGATTAAAAAATCTACCTACAAAGGTTTATCGAGAGTGAATCTTGTCCTACCGTATTATTCGGTCACTAACCTAGTTTTTACTGTGTTTTTAATAGTGAACGACAAAAACAGACATTTCTACCTAGACACATGAATGAATAAGATATTTTTTTACATTTTAAATAGTAACAAATATTATTTGTTTTAATAAAAACAAATGTATAAAGATAATAATTGTTTTCGAATTATAGGTTATTGCAATTTAGAATTTATAATATTGTACGTTTTCTCTGTTTTTTTATATAATATTAGNATATCTCATTTTTCATCAAAAACGGATTTAAGGGGTTTTGATACTAGAGGACTCAATTTAGAATTTATAATATTGTACGTTTTCTCTGTTTTTTTTTATTGAATATTAGTTTTTAGTAAGTACCTGTTATGTTCAATTAATTATTCTGTTTGTAGTCCATACATACATTTTGTGTGACTTATTGCTTTTCAAAGAGTAGTATGGTACCTACCTATTTAAAATGCCAATACGGTTAAAACAACACTCATCCGTCCATAGCACTTTGTTAATAAAACGATGATCCACTGCACTTTGATTTTGAAACCAATTGCAAAATTTAAGACGACTGGGAAAATCAGTTGTTTCATTTCAAGGTTCGAACGCTTTGTGGTGCGCCGGGGCGTTCGCAATCAGCAAATGTGCTGTAAAGTAGAGTGTCGAATTAGCGGAAGTTAAGTAGTAATTTGCTAACTTTTAAAAGGTCAAGTAAAACTTTTTTCGATTTTCTGCGTTTATTAGTCCTTCCAAATTTGTAGTCAAAATTAATGCCATTATGACTGAATCACCCTGTACAAAATAAGGTCATGAATTAAAGCTTGACACCTAGAAATGAACAATACTGATTTTTTGTACATTAGAGGACCATATGTGTTTTAATGCAACTTGCCTCCATACCAAGTTACTTCGCTTAGCCGCTAGATGGCATTAAAGTTGGCAAAAAATTTTAGTTTTTTCTAGTATAAAATGCTTTGTTCAACCAAATAACGTATTTATAATGTTAAATAAATGTTATTAAAATATTGTGTGCATAAAAAGGCGTATGTATAGGTATAGAAAATCAATAAGGAGCACAGGTAAAATAATCGGTAGTCTGTATTACTTTCACGTATTACATTTTGACTTTTGACTTGACGAAATTTACATTTTATTTAATATTTATACAGCGTTCATCGCTCCTAGCCCTGATAACAGCTTAAACCTGATGTATTGTTCTTATCGCCTAAAAAATTATTCCAGTAACTAAGGATTTCCCGTTATATTGTCAGTTTGGAATTTTAGAATTGTATATTCTTAAAAAATACGTAGGCATAAGTTTAAGTGTGTTTTATGATTATGTATGTACATTGTAACAGTAATTATTACTTTCCCTTAAATTATATTTTGCTCGTACAACTTCAGTAGTCCAGTTTTGGAATTAGACAGCACTGAAATTCTAAATTTCGTTTATACTTTCATTTTAAATTTATTACAAAACATTAAGAGACTACATGAAAAGAGAAAGCGACATGTGAATTAGATTATACAGTAATTCGTTAGTACATTTGTCAGATCGAAAAAAACGCATTTAGAGAAGTTGCTTAAATATGGAATCCTTTAAAAAAAGAGAACCAATATTAGAAATAAAATATACTGGCTGAATTATGTTTTCTTAGAAAACAATTAAATAGATTGTGTTTTAATGGACCGTAAGGGGGAATGTAATTTTCTTTCTTCGTTTTAAAATAAAGATTTTTTAATTGATGTTTTACAAGGAGTGACTTTTAATCATAATAATAATAATAATGATAGAAAAACACATCTCTCAACTGTTTTTTACGTTTCTAACGTTTCTTATTTTGTATCTGTTCTCGCACACTTCTTCCAATTCTCAACAACAATGATTATCTAACTTTTAATATAATTTCCTTAAAAAGTATATACGTAGGTACTATTAATTTATCGAAATTAAAAATAAATTAAGTAAATATGCTCCTATTACAAGCAGGGTTTTTTGAAATGTGGATATTACGTTTTTAATGTAATCCTGTCAAAAGTTTCCTAACAATTACAAAGCCACCCTTACAATTTTACATATTATTTAGCCATCACTGCAGCTGAACCATACTGTACCACTTTAAAGACATTTTTAAATTAATGAAAATTAGAATAGATTTTGTGTCCAAATATGGATCGCAAACTTATACATGTTACTCGTATAATGTGGCCATGTTTGTAATCCGAACTTGTAAAATTAGTGCATCAAATTCAGTTGACTTAAACAAAAGGCCTTAACAAAAACTAAATAAAAGTTATAGTTTTCTCTCACGGTCGTATAACGATA